AACAGCTGCTAATAATAACCGAAAAATCCACAAACAGTGCAAAGCCAAACTTAGGAGCCAGATCCGCAAATCACTCGAAAGACTCAGAAACGTTAATGCACAAAGCAGTCAAAGGCATGAATGTAACCAACCAGAAGGAACGTCAAAAATGCGGAACGTTAAGGGAGCAAAAGGAAGAATGACTCACGGACAACTACAAGGAGATTGTTACTGAAAAGATTTAAGAGTGACTAGCTTTTTATAGACAATTATTGTCTATCCCACATGATGACTGAGAGTAAGGTGAAAATCCAGGTCGTATCTGGACTTGAATTAGCAATCACTTAACACTGAACTGGAGGTCTATCCGCTAAGTTAAAAAAGCCCAGGTGAAAACCAGAAAGTTAGTTAGGTATCCATGGGTCATTTTTTCGAATCCTGCTTCAACTTATGTTTCTAGTGCATTTTTAATCATCCTCCGGTTCAAATACAGAGAACAGTCAAAATATCAAGCGTTAATATACATATGGAGAGTGTTGAATACACATTCAAATTGATGGAGATTATCAAGTGATACAGATGAAGTATACATATATAACATATTCTTTACCCTAACTGTCAGGTTCGGTGACTGTTTTATGCATCAGAAGGTTTCAGCTATTTATGTAGATTAGGAAACAGTAGACAAAATGTTTAGGTGTAGAAACCTTGGTGCTGTCTGATGCTTCTTCAAAATCAGAAAGTCTTTAAATACTTTCAATAAATTTTATCTTCAGTGTACATAGTAAAATTGTGAATATGAGTATCATCAAATTTTGTGCTACATAAGAACTTTATTACAAGGTATTTCATTCATTGACAAGTTTTACTCTTTAAATAAACTCATTTTTCCTTAAGGAAATTTTACTGAGTATATGCTGCTTATGACCTACTGTTCTTTACCGTAAGGCGTCATATTTTTTTACGCTTAGAAGTACTGGAAGGTAACAGTGAGATATAGTGTCGTGTAAAATAGTGAATAACCAGTAGACTATTTGATTAAAATTGTAACTGTTTGACTGTACTTTATGTCTAATAGGAAACCAGGTCTATTTTAGAACCAGTGAATTCCCATAGTCCTTTAAATACTATCTTAACATATCTTTTATCGTTGTTTGAATGAAATGTAATATTCCCATTTAGGCATGAAACATTGAAATAAATCATAACTTCACACTACAGACTTAAATTAATCTTGTCATACAATACTCTAAGGTTTAGTGTTTCATCATGAAATCTCACATAACAAATAAGAAGTCTTGAACAACAGACATATAGGAACAATTTATATCCATTTGCACTGAAAAAATATCACTTTCCAGAAATTTCAAAACGTTGAAGATATTCTTTAGAATGTTAGAAATTCTCCATGAATTATAAACAATTTACGACGAAGAGACTTAAAACAAAACGAAATTCGTTTAATTAAGCTTTTACTAGTTAATGAAAGACAAGTCAGTTTGATCACCAGTTTAACTTAGAATATTTTCTCACTGTTATAACCATCTGTACACTCCTTTCTTCGGAGACAATGTAAGTGTAGAGAACTTAGATGTCTTCAAGCAATAGTGCAAGTTCTTTACTTTATTTCAGATCATTAAAACAAATACTTTTACACTATGGCAGTTCTACTGTCCTTTGAATGATATTCCATGGTACAATTATTAGACCAACCATTTAGTGTGACACATCCCGCAGTATTCATGATTGTTGCCTGGTTAGCTGAAGCATGACTTAAGTAATCGATGAAATTGTTGTGATGAAGATACCCAAGCAACAACAACAACAAGCTGCAATCACCATCAACGGGAAAAACTTAAAGGAAGTAGCCTCCTTCACCTATCTAGGCAACACTGTTTCAATTACAGGTGGCGGCACAGGCACAGACGAGAACGTCAAAGTCAGAATCGGAAAAACAAAAGAGGTGTTCATTGGCCTTAAATAACCAGTGTGGAGATCTTCTGCTCTGCATTCAGCATAAAGCGTGAACAACATCCGGATTTTCAACCCTGATTCAGTCAAGTCAGTGCTTCTGTGTGATGGTTGAGAGACTTGGCGTGTTTACAAAAGGGATTTCCAACAAACTACACACATTCATCAACAACTGCCCACGCTGGCTCGATACTGACACTGAAGATCAGATGGTCAGAATAATCGGAATAAGCAACAAGGAACTCACTCTGGCTGGCTAGCAACGAACCAACGAGGCAAGAACCCACCACTCAACAAATATGCAGTGTAAGGAAGTAGAGATGGATTTGATTGAGCATACACTGAGAAGGCCGACTGGGGACATCACGTGCCAGGCCGGGGTGTCGAGTGGAACGCCGATGGGAAACGATGAGTTGGGTGTCCGAGGTGAGGATGGCATGGATGAGATGGTGTGAGGAAGAAATGAGAGGTTGTGGGCTGTTGTGGAGCGAGGTTGAAAAGATTTCAGAGGTCAGAGTGAGATGGAGACGTGCTAGTGAATTCCTATATTCCATTAAAAATTCAAAGGATAAATAATATAGTAATAATAATAATCTTATGTAAGCACAAGATAACCACACAAACAGAAAACGAACGAACTTGAAAGGAAAACTAAGTTGTTATAAAAATCGAAACAATCGCCACTAAGAAAGTTCGTTATTACTTTATGCTAGATATTTCGCCTTAAATTTTCATTTAAAATTACCAACTAAAATCAATGTATTTCACTGAAAGAATTAGAGAAGTTAATCTATTAAAATATATTTCAGAACAAACGTTGGAATCATAATCAGTTAAAGAACACCAGTAGCTTATAGTTCATTATTGACTAAACACTGAATACTTATTGTTGAAAGGCATATTTACATAACAAAAGGTAATTTACAACATTTCAATCTTTACCTAAAGATATTTTCTCCTTTTTTGTTAAATTTTTCTACCTCATTAGTTGATCACATGACCACTTAACACTGAATAACATTAAAAAAGGCATGAATATATTCAGTTAACACATAACAGTTGAAAATAAATCTGTCATTACAACTATGGAAATAATATCCTTGTATCGGTTACATTTCTAAAACATGATCAGTTAGTGATCAATAAAAGTATATTAAGTGTTAGTTTAGTGACATTAATAGCCACACCCTTAAAAATGCCAACTACGGTATGAATATTGACTTGCAAACAGATTTTATGTCTTCTTTGATAAAATATAAACTTCCTATCTATTCTATAGTCAATCAAACTGAAAGTGTAAACTTTAATGTCACTTGCTTTGTCCAAAAGCAGTTGTAAACTGTAGAATATGAGTTCTAAAATTACCATAATCCCAGTTTATTTATTAAGGAATCTCGTTAATAGTTTTTTTGAAAACGATTCCTTTCCTTACTATGACTAGCGCTTCAACTGGTATCCTACTTAACACTAAAAATTAATTTCAGTAGTAAATAAATCTTAATGGTTATTAGTTGAAATTTAACTGATCAAATAATGTATTTGTTAGGCTACAGACTCTGAAACGTTTTGATCTTCAGTCATAGTTTGGTTTGAAAAGGTTAGTATGCATTTTTCCATTGAATGAATGGAAAGGGAGTCCGTATCTTTTTCTCAGTTATCATTGTTTATTCCAATACATGATAATCTTTTATTCTGACCTAAAACCAATACCTTTGATCCTTACAAGGACTAATATTGATAGTTGGTTAGAAAGTCTGTTTAAAATGACAAACATACACTCCATCCCCTCCTTTTTATTGTTAATAAGTATCATCTAATGACATAAATTTTTATTAGGAAATCAGGCAACTGATTATCATTAGAGCTTCGTGATATCCATCTGGAAGTAAGTCACTAATGAGCATTACACAGTATTGTATTTTTGAGATGAATGGGGATTTTTAATTTAGAAGTAGTATTCATCATAGATTGGGGAGCCATTGAAAATCTGGGAGCATTGGACAGCTATTTCGTCCTAGTATGGGCTCTTCAGCAGTATGCACCCACGACCCGGCTAGGGATCGAACCCAGAACCTTGAGGTTTCACGGTAACCTCGTTGACCATTCAGTAGGGTCAACCATTTGGAGGTGAAGTGGATGCTAACTAAAGACTTTAGGTGATTGTCGCCCTATACCATGAATTGACAGAAGTTGGAAATTGTGAACCACTGGAAACCGACCCAGTGGCTGAATGGTTAACACGTTCGCCGTGAAACCTGAGGGTCCCGAGTTCGATAGCTGGCTGGGTCGTGGATGCTTCCTGTTGAGAAGTCCTATTCTAGGAAGAAACAGTTGTCCAGTGCTCCCAGATTTTCAATGGTTCCTCAACTGATATCAGTCCATGATGAATACTACTTCGAAATTAAAAATCCCCATTGATTATTGATTATCAGTCAACTAATTTTAGCATAGACATTAAAACGAATTACAACAATAAAATGTACTAATTACTGTTTAGAATCTTATAAATCGGTATTCTCTTTTTAGATTTACATCTTTCAGTATATTACTCAGTTGAAGACTAGTCTAATTCATGAATTCAAGTTCTTGAGTTATTCTTAGTTCACTAGTTATTACCTGTAAGATATATTGTTGGCATGCATAATTTATATTATCAATATTATTTGAAAATAAATTTTTAATTTCATAATAGAACTGTGTACTTACTACGTAGTTGTTCTATGTTATTTTAGTTTGTTCTTTGGGGGTTTACATAAAGACATAAGGTGAAATTACTCAGGCACGTTGTTAATCATTTCAAATGAACCATTCAACACTCGTATTCTAAGATATCATCTAGTAGTCGTTGCATGATAATACTTACTGAACGCCTTAATTCTATGTGTTCTAAAAGAATTTTATAGTGCATTATTCAATCAGCTAATTTGTATTAACTTTATTTTTCATTATCTTCAATGAATTATTACTTTATATAACTAAAGTTGAACAAACTTAATATGTTCAATGTTTCAATCATTTAATTTGTTATTTGTTACACTTTTAAATTTTAGCTCGACTTGATAGTGTAAAAAATTATATGACGCTAAGAAGAGTTCCAACTGCATTACAGGAACGTGTTATTAACTGGTTTGATTTCCTTTGGTATACAAATAAAATCACAGATGAAGAAAAAGTTCTACAAAATCTACCATATAAACTAAAAGCTGAAATAGCTATACATGTACATTTGAATACATTGAAACAAGTGGAAATATTTCAAGATACAGAAGAAGGCTTTTTATCTGAATTGGTATTAAAATTACGCGTTGTTTTATTTGCACCAGGTGATTATGTATGCCGTAAAGGTGAGTAAACTGTTACCTTTTACCTGCTGTTTAAAAATGAATATTGTTTACTAATTAAAACTATCTCAGTTTTATCTGTACCTTCTTTTGAGATTCCCAGATGGTTGCGTGAAAATAGAACTGAATAAACTTATTGTTTCGCTGTGTGAAATATGCATCTTCATCGACATATTATTATTATTTGTCCTTTGAGTTCCTAGTGGAACATAGGGCTTCAGTAGCACATAGCCATTTCACTCTCTTCCCTACAGTCTTTTCAACCTGACTCTACCACTGCCCACAAGCTTCTATTTCTTCCTCACATCATCTCCTCCATGTCACACTCGGATGTCCAACTCGTCGTCTCCTCTTTGGGTTCCACTCGACGACCTGACCTGGCAAGTGATATCCCCGAATGGTCTTCTTAGTGTATGCCCAATCCATCTCCATTTTCTTGTACATATTTGTTTGACTGTGGGTTTGGTTGTTGGTTGGTTGGTTCGCTGCCAGCCAGCCAGCCAGCCAGAGTTGCTTGTTGCTTATTCTTATTATTCTGACCATCTGATCTCCATCTTCAGTATCGAGTGAGCGTAGGTGTCAGTTGTTGATGTATGTGTGTAGTTAGTTGGCAATGCTTTTCGTAACGCACCAAGTCTCTGAACCATCACACTGATTTTAGGTTAATAAAGACTTGCCTTGCTTTTTGAGACATTAGATGAGAGAATGGTTAGAACTTGACAATTTATTTCTTCCATCTTAGTTTAATAAATACAACAGACGGTTTCTCAATTTCAGTTACTTACTAACTGTTTTACACGAGCTAGTCTTATCATAAATAATCAGAACTTTACTGTTCATTGCTGTCAGGGCATGCAGAAAGATTAACAAAATCTTCATAAGAAGCCAATCAACGACATTAGAATACAAGCAATAACACTAATACTATACTCGTAGCACAAAAAGTGGCTACCGTGGCTCAGTAGTGTAGTGGATAACGCTCCGGTGTTTGAAGCGATCCCTCTTGAGTCAAAATCCGGGTGATAATAACATCATTCACTGGGAACTAAGTACATTCAATTGCCGAGTCCCAAATAGGACGAAATGTACATCCTGGATTCCAATGCTAGCCACTATCCATCATTACTATATAGAAGCTACATGTGGAAAAATATATGAATCAATGTGTTAGTATCAGGCTGATTGAAGGGACGAAAAATCAGTAGGATTTTAATCTAGAAGGACTTGGAAATAGACAAGACCATTTTGATATATATAAACCACGTAATTTATATATATATATATATATATATATATATATATATATATATAATGTTGCGGTTGCTGTTTAAGCTGTAAGAGTGTAATCTGAAGGTACTTGTACAAGCATCCGCATATATATATAAATCAGGCTACATCAAATCATTCTAAAGATATAAAAATTGCAGAATTTATAAATTATTTTTCTGAAGTAATTTTACTGTATCAGTTTCATAGTCATGTTATGTCAATAGAAAAGTCAGAAACAGTAGGACTCAGAAATAAATAAATAAATCATCTCTTATTACAAATGAATGAATCCTTTCAAGAAATATACAATGAAATGAACTAACTATTCAAGCCTTGAAAGTATTGATGACACCGTCCACATTTAATAGATGCTATCATCACCTGGTTCCTTTCATATTCATGTTTAATCACTACAGAGTGTTTATTTTCCTAAAAAGTATATATTGATTTTCAGTCTATTCGCAGAAGATCTGTTCATCCAAACTAATGACATATTCCATTTTACTTAACCTAATCTTCTAGCTTCTTAACCATAAAGTATAGTTTCACTAATATTAAGCTTAAAGTCTAGGCCAAGTCTCAATTACTATCTCACTACAACTACTTGAGCTATTTCTTATGAAAAACTTGTCACTTTTAAAACAGTAACCTTGTTATGTATAGTAATAATGGGCAGTGGCGATCGCTCCAGGGTTCGAGTCCTGGTGGGAACAACATCACTCACTGGAAGGCAAGTACATCCAGCTGATGAGTCCCAAATAGGATGAAATCCACATCCTCGATTCCACTGCTAGCCACTGCCCATTATTACGACACATAATTAAAGCACAAGCAATATCAAGGCATCGGCACAGGAACCCATATGCCAACAGAGACTGATCAATTCGGTCCAACCAACGACGGTGTCATGCAAGCAATAACACTAGTAACCTTGTTGCTCAGATTACTGGCCATGTTCCTGTTGACTTTTCTCTTGCATTTATTTTATTAAGAGAAGAAAATGAAATCTGTGAAAATTTATTCAGTAATATCTGTTCACTTAGTAATAGTTATCATTACATAAAATATTTTGGCTAAACAACGGACAGCTCAAATGATAGAAGTTCTACCTTCCATACTTTACATCTAAAATATCCACATTCATAAATGTACTCATCATCTGCATCAAGAAATAATAGTTTTCAGTTTTACTTTGCAGCATTAGGTAAATCAGGCATAAGAATGTATACATATATACTTACTTGTTCACCTAGTCATAGTGATTTAGCCAAAGCAAAGCGGTTTACAAGCTACGGCATCAAAACTCTTCTACGCCAGTCGCAAATGGAGTGGCTATCATTACCCAACGACTTAAGGAAGTATGCTCTGGCGTTTGAAACGATTGATTCTGGATTTGCTTCAGTGGAAACAAAAACATTAACTGGGAGGCAGGTACATCTCTAATAGGATGAAACATTCATCCTAGATTCTACTTCTAGCCGCTATGTATCATTAATACAAATATCAAGGTACCCACACAGGACCTTATACGCCAATGGCGGCCGGTCAGTTCGTTCCAATCAATAACAGGTCGTAACATCAAAACTAAAGACCAAAACTGAAAGATATTCACAATTGTTGTAACGTATGACTTATTTACCGTATGATTTTTCTTATTGTATTATGACTGAAAAAATGATACTTGGTCCTATCAGTTGTATTTATCAACGCCATCAAGGTGACAAGTGGTTTAAGTTAAAGAAATAAAGTTAACTGATATACGGTTCAACTTTTTGTTCGCTTATATCTGCGAAAATGACACTCTTAAAGCACCTTTATCTACTCAACTTACGAATGGCAACAACAAAGTATTTACCAGGATACATCGGTAGACAATAATCAAAAATTAACGAACTATTTAGTACATAGCATTTCATTAGGCATCAACAGCAAACGAAGAATCATCTAAGTTCACGAAAAATCATAATCTGGTAGTTGTAGATGTGGTATGGGAAAATTAACAAAACCAATAAGTGACGCTAGGTAATGATTGAAAGTGGAATGTAGATTTGAACCGCGGCGGGATTCGAACCAGTGACCACCAAGTTCCCAACCCGGTATTCTACTAATTGAGCTATCATGCCCTACTGCTGACCAGATTTTTATTTGATTTCAACTACCATAGGTTTCGCCTGACTATCATGTGAATTCGTAACACTTTACTATCTTTTGATCGCACTTACACTGGCTTCCCAGTCAAGACTTATCATCCCAATCAAAATCTGACTTAATTAAAGAGAACGAGCATCATATTGATTGATTTAACAAGTTAGTATTGATAATGAATGATAATTGAAGGGGAATGAAAATTTGGACCACGGTCGGGTTCGAACAAGCGACCACTGAGTTCCCAGCGAAACCATTGCTATCTCAAATAGTCAAAATGAGGACCAATAATGATAAAGCAATGAAATCAACATGTTTTTAATATTACCGACTTTTCTCTTCTTGTAATTGTCGGTACGTTTACATTTTAATGAACCATAGGAGATTTGTTAAGTCTTCTTACAAGTGAAATGTGTTTATACAGAATCACTTAATAAGAATTTCTGTTCCTTTTGCATGAAAAGTTCGCTGATCTTCTAGAAACATCAGCCTAGTAATTCTTCTGTCTACCAAAATCTACTTCGAATGAAACACTGATCATATATGCTTATCATCGTCTATAAGTTATATAGCGTTACTATGTATACGATGTTTGTTTTATTGATCCACCATGACAAAAAAACACAGTTTGTCTAGGAAAATGAACCTTTAACAAGTGATAAACAGAATAAAATAATTTTACTTAGCATCTACACAGAAATGCCAAAAAAATTAGAGAATATGCTAAGAAATAGCCTTGAGATGTATTTCATTTATTGTAATAAACAATTTTTAGTGATAGAATTTCGGCTGTTTTCATTAATTTCAGCTAAATCACAAACAAGATAATCATTTCTGGAATGCCAAGGACTTTGAAAATGTTTCTTGGAGTTGTAACAGTTTAATTTACAGAATTAAATGGTAGTTATCGGATAAGAGACTATTTTTTTGGCGTTGTTGTGTTTTCTGCGCTGAAGGATTTATGCATAAAGCCTTGTTCGTCATTAGGCACATCGTCAGCATAAAATCCAGGCTATTTATGAAACAGGGACTCGATGGTATTAGAAGCCTAGTCTTGGTGTGCGACAGAGTAGCTGACCCACAATAACTGCTAATATTTAGCCAAGAACATGAATGAGAACGTTATTAGGAACACTTCAATATTCCCTACGTTTCCAGTTCAGTTTAAAGATTAAAGTTTCTCTGAATAGTTCATTCCTTTTCATATATGATCTAACGTATATATTTCGGGAGAAATATGCTTCTAGCATTCACTATACATCCATTCTTTTATATAGTGCATTCACTTCACTTTCAGATTATTTCTTCCTTGATCTTCTACAGGTGAAATTGGCAAACAGATGTACATTGTGAATCGTGGTAAACTACATGTCTTGGGAGATGATGGACAAACAGTTTTAGCAACATTACATGCTGGAAGTTACTTTGGTGAGCTATCTATTCTAAATTTAGGCAATAACGGTAACAGGCGTACAGCATCAGTACGTTCTCTTGGATATTCTGATTTATTCTGTTTATCTAAATCTGATCTTTGGGAGGTACTGAAAGAATATCCAAATGCAAGAAGTAAACTGGAAGCTGATGCATATAAAAAAATGAATCAGTATCAAAATGTTCCACAACAAAATGTAAAAGGTAAGATCTTTTTCTAATGTTTCATACATAGTGCTTACTTTGATTGATCAAACTACCTACAGTTTCCAAAAAAAGTTGGATGTGCTAACTGTTTTGATCTGTTTGGGAACACATTGGAAACTATTGAGAATTCGATATCGCCATTGACATTAGTCTGGGCGTTTTCAAATATTCCCACCTATTATCTACTCGGGAACAGGCAGGCTTCAGGAAGTACAAATCATGAAGGGAGTAGCCTCCTTCACCTATCTAGGCAACACTGTCTCAACTACAGGCAGCACAGGCACAGATGAGGACGTCAAAGCCAGCCATCCAGGATCGGAAAGACACCAAGACAGGCGTTCATTAACCTGAAACCAGCGTCGAGATCTGCAGTACTCAGCGTGTGGAACAATATGCGGATTTTCAACACTGATTCAATCAAGTCAGTGCTTCTGTATGGTTCAGAGACTTGGAATGTTACAAAAGGGATTTCCAACAAACTACACACATTCATCAACAACTGCCCACGCTGGCTCGATACTGACACTGAAGATCAGATGGTCAGAATAATCGGAATAAGCAACAAGGAACTCACTCTGGCTGGCTAGCAACGAACCAACAAGACAAGAACCTGTCACTTAACAACTATGCACTGGAAGGAAGTAGAGATGGATTTGATTGGTCATACACTGAGAAGGCCGACTGGGGACATCACGCGTCAGGCCAGGGTGTCGAGTGGAACCCCGATGGGAAACGATGAGTTGGGTGTCTGAGGTGAGGATGACATGGATAAGATGATGTGAGGAAGAAATGGGAGCCTGTGGGCTGTGGTGGAGCCAGTTTGAAAAGATTTCAGAGGTCAGAGTGAGATGGAGACGTGCTACTGAATTCCTATATTCCATTAAAAACCCAAGGGACAAATAATAGATGATAATAATTTTCTACTCAAAGGCTTTATTCAACTACCCCGATTTTATATAATGATGACTCTTAATCATCTGTACTCACTATTGTGAACTGAAGACTGGAAATGAAGTTTTGATTGTCACACTGAAGAAATTTATCAGCACAGACTTAAGAAATAAAATAATCTAAAAGATAACTGAGTAATTAGCTAAGTGATTTGCTTAGATGTATATGAGTGTGATTGGCTATTCCTAGACATTACACAAACTTAATACATAATCAGAGAATGCAGGTCTACTCAAAATGAAGATTTTGAAAGCATCATCTCAAGGCATTTGTAATGAAATTTAAAGTGCCGTTGAACATATCGATAAAAAAACAGACTTCGTTAAGTACTAATTCAGTGAGAAAAGAAAGTAAATTTCTGGATAACACTTTGGATACAAATTATTGTCCATATTCATATCAGGTAACTAACTCCACAACTTCAAGACAGACAACATATATTCCTACTTTACTCTCCTTCTCTCTGATGACAAGGCTAGTAGCATTTTCCATATATCTGGGAAAGATGCAGAATCATTTCGGTTGCATGTATTTCGCATTGATTGGGGAAACAAAGATTCGGTCATCAATCTATCCCTCCATCCAACTAAGTTAGTTTTCAACACTGTCACCCTATCCCACCCTACTGTGTCATTGTATGTCATCGCATGCAGAGCTATAGCTGAGTTTTTCTCTAGATTTCTTATCTTATTAAGATCTACTGATCTTGATTTAGTTAAGTTTTTGTGCTGTGTTATCCTAATCGACCCTGGCTGACTGCTTTGATCTATGTACTTGACCTCACAATCATTGCAAGGGATCTGGTAAACCAGAAAATTTAGCTTAATTGTATTGATAGGAACTTTTAACCTAAAAAACTTTTTTCTAAGCGAGATTATTAGTTTAAATGCCACTTTAATCTACAGTCTTACTGAAAATTCTTCGTAATGCTTCTGAGGTGCCTTTTTTGCTTGTTAACACACCAGAGACTTTGAATTCTCTCTTAACCTTGTCACCATCATTACCATTAGTAGTGGAACTACTATTAATAATACCTATATTACTATTACTACTACTGCTAATATTTTTCTTTCGATTTCTTATGAGTCTATTTATAAATTTTGGTGGGTAAATATTGAGACGTAGGGTATTCTTGATGTGTCCAATTTCTTGTCGCAGATTTTCCGATCTACTAGTAAGCTTTTTCGCTCTATCATTTAAACATTTAACTAGGCTTACTTTAACTGAAATGGGATGGGAGGATTCAAAGTCTAAGTAGAGATTCGAATGAGTAGGTTTCCTATAGACGCCAGTCTCTACATTACTTTCTTGTGTTCGTTTAATCTTGCAATCTAATATTGCTAGCTCGTCTTCTTCACTTTCTAAGGCACAGGTAAATTCGATTGCATTCACTACTGAATTTATATGCGCCAAGAACCTGTCAGTCCTATTAGTCCTACTCCAAAGATATAGTTCCGATATATATATATATATATATATATATATATATATATATATGATACGTTTACAGTACTAAAATCGGAACAAATCAATAAAAATCTCTAAGTGATCAATTTTTCCAAACAAGTTAAGGATGGATTCAATAGCTCCATTATCTAAAGTTGGAAAATCCCTTAAATTAAACACTTTAATAAATTGATGATGTGACTTTAAAAACCACCTTAACAATTACTGAGGCAACCAATAGCAGTTCTTTCTTTTATAAAAAAACTAACTTCTTAGATGAAACACCGGGAAGGGATTGATTATTTCAACAGTTACTAAGGTGGTCTATACAGTCACTCAGATTGATGTAAACCTGCAATTTGCAAATCCCTCCATATTCTTTTGAATAAAATGATAATCTGGAAAAACAAATGCCAGTGGTAAATTATCAAGCATGCACTAAAAAACGAATTACTGCAGAAATTTTGTAAGTCATAGTGTTTACCAATACTTTAAGTATATCCTATGTTAAGAGACATTTTACCTGTTTTCCTCCATCAGACATGTTTTTCACTTACAAAATAAAATATCCTCATATTTGATCATTTTCATAACTTTTAGACTTTAGGAGGAGGGGAAGACAAGAAATTAGTTCAATTTTGAGGTTCTTGGGGGATTCATTTATTGATTTCAGGTTGGCATTCATCATGTGCTAAGATCATTCGGAGAAAAGTTGGAAATCTAGCAGCAGTGGACAGCTGTTTTGTCCTAGTTTGTGACTCCTCAGCGGTGCGCACCCATAAAATCATCCTCCAGGAATCGAATTCAGGACCTTTGGGTTCTGGTTACTTGCTTCAAGAAGTGATTTTCGAGGTTCTAATGAGAAGTCGTCACCGATAGGATCAATGAAGTGAGATGTGAAGACAGTTACTTAACTATGACATTGGATGGAGGTTACGCTACATCGTGAACTGATAGAAGTAAGAAATATGAACCACTGGTTTCGGACCCACTAACTCAACGGTAACAGGCTAGCTATCGGACCGGAAGGTCCTAAATTCGGTCCATGGTGACGTCGCAGTTGCCCACTGATGAGGAGTTCCATGCCAAGACAAATCAACAAGACGTATAAGAAAATGCTTAGTTTACTATTCTATATGACATATATGTTTCTCATTCTCATGAATGAATTTAATTCTTCAAGCTAAAATTGCTGTAATCAAGTAAATAGTGGTTAGCAGTGAGCAATTCCTGAGTCATAAGTGTGCATTGATGGACAGTGGCTAGCAGTGAAATCCAGGATGCTCATTTCGTCCTATTTCGGACTCGTCAGCTGGACGTACATGCTTCCTAGTGAGTGCTGTTGTTCCTACCAGGTGTAATGCTAAGAATTAGGACAGTTTGAGACAGTTGTTCAGCTGTCACTAGTTTCAAGTAGTTTGTAGAATAATGTCAATTTGAAATTGCCCAGAGTTTTAGTAAGATGTAAAGTGCATTCAGGTTATTTGTTAGAAAACGTAGAATAAACCTTTTCTTAATTTGCTTCCTTTTACAGATTTCTCAGTTAAATCTATACCGTATGACCGAAGAATCTTGAATTCATCAGATCAAACGAGCTCCCCTGGTTACTTTCCGGCCGGTTTTGAAAACAACCACCCATGCAATGTAAATCCAACGTGCAGTCAAACCAACCATTCCCTGTTATGTATGAACTTAAATCATGACTGTTTACTACGTGTGTCTAACAGCGATGGATCAGATGGTTATGGTAGTGATCCAAGTCGTTGTTCAGCCTTCTTGCCTACTCCACAACGATCACCAACTCCACCGGCAATTCTGGGTAACAATATTCCAGACAAGAGTATTATGACATCAAATCATGAAACATTTGCACTACCTAATTTTACAAGCTCGAGTATAACAAATCACAGTCAATCTGTATTTTCAGGTATTTATCAAAATCGGTCTAGTTCAGCACCTACAACGATTAGTAATATTTCAATAAATTTTATTCCATGTCATTCTAATGAAAATCAACTAGCTTTATCTACTACAGTATCTGAATCCCATCAATATTCTTGGTTGAAATCATGTCCATCGAATTCTATTCTGCCAGGGAAACAACGTAATCTTTCCATGCCAACAGATTTATTTCATATGGCTAAAAATTCTTTCCATTCAAACAGTAATCAATTACAAAATCCTAGTACAAAGTTTACACGTAACGCATTACATAACTTTTCTTTAAATCTATCAAAAGGATTGGAAAGTGAAAATACGCTTCAAAAGTACTGTCATTCAGAGTATCCAATCAAAGAAAGACATACTACACTTTTAAATTCGAATGAATCAAACTTTGACAGCGCACTTAATGGACAAAGAGTTATACCAGTAATATGTTTCGAAAAGCTTCGACACCATCTATTTCAGAGGCAACAATCTCAGAAGACGAACAAGAATATGCCACTAATGAAGAACAATGTACACAACAACCATCACCAATACCAATCAAAGTCCCCCCATTGACCACTTCTTCTCCGATATCATTACCAACATTTGGAAAAAATTGTTCTCATTTAAAAATTCCTAAGCATAAAACTTCTAATTGGATAGCTAAGCGACCACCATGGCCTTACAGAGCCTGTTCACATCATTATAAGCCAGTAAGTGTTTTAAAAACTGGACATATCTCTTACCGTCCAACTGAAGATAATATTCCATCTACTTCTATGATTAACTGCCAGAGTAATAAAAATAGTCAAGAATTGGTTGAACACTTGAATAATCTTGCTTACCGAATAAATAAATTAGAGAATGAAAATTTATTCTTACAAAATTGTTTATTCAATCAGCCCACCTCTGTTCAAACACAACAGCAGCTACAACTACCATCACTGCTATCACAGCAGCAACGGATTTCCACAATCAACTTGTCACGCAAGCACAGTCTACCAGTACGTTCATCAAATGTTTACCAGAATTGCCGAAGTTACTTAACAACGCCTACTACATCACCCAGTATAGTGATAAATGAAACTTCAACTAGTGGGTATGGGAATTTGAAAGATCCGAAGCCCCAAAACTCTCAATTAGTTATACTTAAAAGACGGGAAGAAAATCTAGAAGAAGAAGAACATTTACTTGATAAACAGAACAATAATAATTCACCAATATTCACTTTGGACTAACATATACGCAAAATTCCACTTTCTTTTCAATTTGTCCATTTTTCAGATAGAACGATTCTAAACGGCATATTTCAATGGAGAGAATTCAGTTTATTGACTTAGTTTCATTCTTTCTTTTTCTCTTAAGAACTCGGAAGTGAATGTGAATATAGCGGAAAGAGTATATACGAATAAGAGTTGATTCAAACACCATTTTTCATCTGAACACATTCTAAAAACGGATTGAAACTTTGATATAGTAAGTAGCTATCTACGTATGAACTCAAAAGTTATTCAGTGTCCCTTTCCTTTTCTCTGTTAACTTAAAATACCATGTCGTACATGGGATATAAAAATTAAATGTTTGTGTTACTTTCTACTCATTCATTGAAAGTAGTATGAAAATATATGGATTTAATTTTCTAAGCCTACTCTCTTTTTATTCACTGTATTACCTTTTGTTACGAAAGTATTCATGGTTATGTAAATTGCTATTCTGAATAAAACTAATAATATTTTAAACTATTCTTCGTTTTTGGTGATTCAAAAACTATTCAGTGGATAGCAATCTCTAAAAGATTTCAAGTATTATCTCGTGTTTTGTAAAGGTCTGACCTAGTTATGGCAAACTCATCATTTATACCTATTAATCAAGCTTCTTTATAAAATATAAAGGTCTCAATCGCTCTATTCATGTAACCGATATCGTAAATTTGTTAGACAACTGCGCTGGCTACCAAACATAAGATTTATAGCTCTATATGGAGATGACAGCTACATGATTTTTCCCATCCTTTGTCTCTGAGATCTTTACCCAGTTATTTTCTTGTTAGTTATTATTTCCCAACTCATCTGAATGTTACCTGTACTTCTTTGGACATTTTGATAAGGAAAACAATAAAGTAGGAGACGTTTGCTAATTTTTAGCCCTGCTTTTCATAAGAATTTAAAATTGTCACATTCGAAGTTGGGGTTATGCTTGTCTATGTTCCATTTTGATCAGTAACGACACATTGTGTTATTTAACTGACATCACCTGCTCGAAAGCTTTTAAGGCTATCCTGCTCTATTAAGCAGCCTGACTCGATGAATCTGATTAGATGGTTATTGAATTTCCACAGCTGTTAAAAGGAAGTTCAACTGATTCGCCTAACCGTAGCATAATATAATAATCGTTGTCATCAGAAAATACTGTTTTTAAACCCAGCTGTTCTTATGAAAAGTTAAGTTTTTTACTGGCACAAATCCAAATTTGGTCACCACGGATCACAGTTCAGTATGATTGGGGAGTTAAACACCTTCACCACCCAGATTCTTTTTTTGGAAATTAAGATTACGCGGCAGCTATCTGAGGTATCATTTTGAACTCCAGAGACGAATAAGCATAGATATCCGAGTCACTTAGAAGTCTAGAAACAAATCACGCCCATACAGCCATTTACGGAACTTAAAGTCAAAGCGCTTTCTCCTACTCCCCCTCCCCTCCACATACACACAAGACCATAAAAGTATTCTGTTCATATAAAAAGTATGACAAGAAATTCCCTTGCATCTACCTACTTTTACCCAATGACTATAACTGGTTAGGGTGAATACTGTAGCATTAAGTACATTACTTGGAAATTTCACATCCACATATCAAACTCCAGAAAAAATACTACCCTAGGGTTAGAAGAATGAGTTCTTTTTTGAGTATGAATACATATAAAATAGTAAGGCATAAAATAAAAGCTATAGAGAACGTAATACAGAAGTTTTTCAATATATAAAAAACAGATTGTCAAACAAATGAAAATGGTAAAAGCAGTTTTTCATAATGACAAAAATAATAGTGAGTGAATTGAAGCAGTCATAGTGCTTGTAAGTTAGCTTACATCAAAATTAGACCAGAGTTAGACGAAGGATTTGAAAATGGAATAAATTCTCCCTACAACTAAAAAAAGCCTTAATGTACTAGTTCAAATCAAGCATATATAAGATCAATTGTCAATCTATTATGGAAACTGACTAAGATCAGTAGAAATGATTCCTTCCCCAGTGATGCGTTACGCTCTAAAGACTAATCCTCAGTTGTTATCATAGACTCTATACTATGCCGTTTGTTTGTCAAGGACTTAGTAATACAAAGAATTGTAGATAATGCTTGAAATAATCTCCATTGAAAGTATCGAAATTATTCTCTTTTGAGAGTTAGGAAACTTAGCTGCATTATCCACTAGTATATCAATGTGACTGTTTTTTAAAGGAACGTCCTTTATTCGCGTTGCTTGAAGGTCTATAAAAGTAAGAAGCAAGACAAATATGTTCGAATTCTAAAAGACCATAAGTTCGTCTGAGACTGCTGATGAATGTTAAAAAGCACGAAAATTAATTTAATGAGCTCAATGATTATTTTGTAAATTGGAGTGTATCAGTTTTTTTAAGCGTATCGAAAACATAGACACTATTATAGCATATTGGAAAGAGACTTATTACTGATTACACCTCAAATAGTAACTTTTGCTACATATGAGTGTTTACTTGCTTTCTAGAGTTTAGCATCAGTACGTCCAGAAAACACATAAACTTTCCCAATGCCTTTAGGATGATTTAATACAGATTTCCTAACCAAAAAGTTATTAACTGATTCATTTATTTTAAACATGAAGGATTTTTATTATTTATTTACTGGCAGATATGATATAAATCTAAACACTGAAATGCCAAGTATCTTATGAATCTTGAAATGCGTGGTGGTTTCGTTATTCATAAACTTGACAAAATTACTATCTTCAGTAAAATTTCTAAAGTGATATAAAGCCAAATAACGTGGCGGCGATTTCTCATTTTTTTTTTTGGTTTTACTTCTGCATCTTATGACCACTTGGAAACAAAAATAGGTTGATTTTCATTGTTGACAAAACATTGAATTGTCTACAAACTATTTACTGCCCTCAAGTTCATATCACAATAAGATATTGTATCGACCCCATACACCCCAAAATCCGGGGTACAGTTTAGTGTCATTGCTCTGGTATTTCTTTAAGATTGATCCTATCATGGGTTTAAAACTGTTTGCGAATAGACTGAAGTAAGCTGGCCAACATGACTTTCTTTTCGACTTTCTCCTAAACTTTATTGAGAGTGAACCAAATGAAACACATTTTCGTACCAATGAGCTTGTTCTTAGTTTTACTACTGATTCACAGTTTATATTTAAGCTGTCATTGCAACTAACTAGTTGATTTGTGTGTGCAGACTATGTAAACAGATCAAGTCTAAGTAATCCAGAACAAACAGTGGTTTATATGACAATGTGTCAGTCATATATATTCATGGCTATCAGACGGTCACTACTATTTGACATATATGACTGTTTATTTTACTGCTATATTCAAAACAGTGTTCAGATCATAATATTCAGATGAAAGGGATATATATTACCGTACTCAGACCTTCAACAAATATGTATAGATGTGATTTATGAGATGCATGAATAGTGAGTTCCTGAAAATGAGTGTGCACGATATTATGCTTGCACAGGATATGCTTTCTCAGTTAAAATGACATTAACACAGATTTATGAAGGATAACATGCTGATATATCTAGAAATCCAAATATCTGTCATTATTTCTTCAGGCCTATTTATATGACAGAAAAGTATCGTGTTTTTCAAGTTCCTATGTGCAACAGTAAAAGTTCTGTATAACTTTTCACTTAAGCGTGGGTACATAAATGGGTACGTGGTTGGCCTAAATCAGACGACATATGCCTGCTGTCACAAACTGTCTTGAACACGACATGCAAAATTTTAGTGTTATCTATTACAGTTAATACCTACTACATATCAATGAAATGCTATATTAGTAAATAAAATATGTTAATAAACATTTGAATAAAGTCATGTAAGGTAGACTAAATCTACTATCAGAAGTCAGTCGAAGACACTTTTTTTAAAAATACTACTTTAGATCCCCACTAAGTGATGGTCTTGGGTGCATAGTAGTCCACACTGGTAACCCTGTAGAGGATTAACCCTAGGACTGTCAGACCTCACACCCACAATGTTGGAATCCTTTAGTTCACACTTTTTCCCTTCCTCCTGAGATTGTGGCTACACAGGACAGAACAACTTTCTAACGCTCCCCAAGTTCGTAATGGTTCTCTGACCATCAGTCTGTAAGGATAAACCAATTTGAAACCATGTAACTATTTCCAATAGTTTCTTGCTGTAAATTTATCGGTTGCTACGTATTTGTGGAAAAATTATGGTTCAAGACTTCGCAGTAAAAGTTAATTTATATACAAGATCCTTAAAAGTATACTCTTTCTCAGAATATGTTGATGAGTAGGAAAATGGGAGCTTTATGCTTGACATGGTTTCAGCTTAATCAAACTTCAGTAATTTTTGTAGTATGTTTTTCACTACAGTGGCTTAAAATAAAATTCTCCATTTGTGAAAATTTTACTAACTTATTAAACTTAGGCAGATAATTTGTTTTCAACATGCAAGCAGTATATTTTTCATCATAAAAATAAGTGAATAGCGTTTACAAAGCACTAAACAACACTTCCAATGACCATGTTTTCCAAAGTACAAGCATCTAACAGTAAATTTCTGTCTCTAATTCTTTTATCAGTAGGACGAAATCTGAAAAATTCAAGAAAAGACATTTATGCACGGAATGTTCGAAGGGACTTTCGAAATCTGAAATTAAGATAGCAACAACACTATATAAGACGAAATGGACTATGTAAGGACCTTATTCAATAAAGTAAAACACTCTGCAGTGCATCTTTCTTGGGGATAATGGGAGGTGATTTACAATAACTTCACTAGGGAAGTGTATCTTACGCCTGCAACTACTTTAGGCAAAATGATTTACGCTAACCAATAAGTAGGGGATGAACCACAAAGCAGGAATAACTCTCATATAAAATAAAATCGTAAGTATATGTAGAAACACTTGTACATGTAAACATGTAGACTCTACTCTTCACTTTTCCTCAATCGCCTTCAATAAAAAAGACAGAAAAACGAAATAAGGTATATTTTTAAGGTCAAATATAAACAAAACAGTAAACATATATGAAACGGTCTTGGGCAGTCCATGCCTTTTCAGAAGTGTACTGTTTATGGATTGCAGGTTAAACTAGAAATCTGATGGAAGGATGTAAGGTTGTGTGATTTCAAAAAGCAATTGTGAGTTAAAGCAAAAATTATTAGCATTCAGGTGACTCATTTTCACAGCTCAACACGTGCAAACGTAGTAAAATTGAAGGAATGTTCTAGACAAGTTTCCGGTCAAAGGTTAAAGTTAATTGAAAGAAATGATATCACGTAAAACAAGAAATGGTCTGGACAGTTTCTTCAAGTTGTTATTCATCGTAGACTGACATCAGTTGGAGGAACACAGAGGAAACCTGGGATCCCTGGACAGCTATTTCGTCCTAGTAGAGGAGTCCTTAGCAGTGCTCACCCACAACCCCACCAGGGATCTAACCCGCGGCCTTCAGGTTTCGTGGCCAGCACGTTATCATTGAGC